CAGCTGTGGCTTCGCGATCGAGTCCCGAGGTGGGCATGGCATCGCGGCTCGCTCCGAGTTCCAGTGACTCCGACGTGCCGCCGAACCTTCTTCCCGTGGTCGAACCTCAGCTTTTTACGACAGGGTCCCTATTCAGCGAGTTTCCAGGCATCTCGTTGTCTCCACGGATGCGTCTACCACGGGTTGGGGTGCCATGTGCAATGGGCATGCATCCGCCGGTTCCTGGACAGGAGCCCAGCGCCTCATGCACATCAATTGCCTCGAGCTGTTGGCAGTACGGCTCGCCCGGCACCGCTTCCGAGCGTGCTCAAGGGCCAGCATGTGCTGGTCCGCTCAGACAACACTACGGCAGTAGCGTACATCAACCACCAGAGGGGGTCTACGCTCGCGCCGGTTGTCGCAGCTCGCCCGCCACCTCTTGATATGGAGTCAGAAGCACCTGAGGTCCCTTCGTGCAGTTACATTCCTGGAGACCGGAACCGGGCAGCCGTCGAGCTGTCCCGGGCCCGTCCCATCTCCTGCGAATGGCGACTCCATCCCCAGTCGGTCCAGCTGATTTGGGACCAGTTCGGGGAGGCACAGATAGACCTGTTCGCCTCTCGGGACTCGTCCCACTGTGCCCAGTTTATTCTCTGACCCGCGGCTCTCGGCTCGGATGCGCTGGCGCACAGCTGGCCACGGGGCCCACGCAAGTGTGCGTTCCCCCAGTGAGCCTCCTTGCACGGGTGTTGTGCAAGATCAAGGAGGACGAGGAGCAGGTCTTGCTGGAAGCCCCCTACTGGCCCACCAAGACGTGGTTCTCCGAACTCATGCTCCTCGCGACAGCACCTCCTTGGCCTATTCCTCTGAGACCGGACTACTCTCTCAGAGACAGGGCACTCTGTGGCACCCTCGTCCCGATCTTGGAGGCTGCACGTGTGGCTCCAGGACGGGACGAGGCAGGTTTGAGTTCGCTGCCACCTGCGGTGGCGGCAACCATCACTTCCGCAAGAGCGTCGTCCACGAGACACCTTTATGCGTTGAAGTGGAACCTCTTCGTCAATTGGTGTTCTTCTCGCTGAGAAGACCCCCGGAGATGTTCGATCGGAGTCGTGCTTCCTTCCTGCAAGAGGGGTTGGAGCGTAGGCTGTCGCCCTCCACCCTTTGGATTTATGTCGTGGCCATTGCCGCGTCTCATGATGCAGTGAAAGGTAAGTCTATGGGAAGCATGACCTGGTCATCAGGTTCCTGAGGGGAGCGAGGGGGCTAAATCCGCCTCCCTCCCCTCCTGCCCTCTGGGGACCTCTCAGTAGACCTGGGTGCTCTGCAGAGGCCTCCCCTGGAGCCTTTGCAGTCGGTAGAGTTTTTGCCCTGTCCTATGTGACAGCACTCCTGATTGCATTGGTCTCCATCAGGAGAGTAAGGGACCTGCACGCACTCTCTGTTGACGAAGTGTGCCTGGAGTTCGGGCCGGCTTACTCTCACGTATTCCTGAGACCCCGGCCTGGATATATGCCCAAGGTTCCTACCACTCCCCTCCGGGACCTGGTGGTGAACCTGCAAGCGCTGCCCCTGGAGGAGGCAGACCCAGCCTTGGCACTGCTCTGTCCGGTACGTGCACTCCGCACCTATGTCGACAGAACGCAGTGTTTCAGGACCTCAGACCAGCTCTTTGTCTGTCATGGGGGGAGCCAGAAGGGAAGGGCTCTCTCAAAGCAACGGCTGTCCCACTGGATAGTGGATGCCATTGCTTTGTCTTACCAGCAGCAAGGCCTTCCGTGCCCCCTTGGTGTGACGGCCCATTCCACTCGGAGTGTAGCCTCCTCTTGGGCTTTAGCGCACGGCGCCTCGCTAACAGACATCTGCAGAGCTGCAGGCTGGGCGACACCCAACACCTTCGCCAGATTCTTAATCTGCGAATTGAGCCGGTATCCTCTCACGTACTCGTTTCGGCCAGTTCTGGATCCGCTCAGGTGTCTTCGCTTGCTCGCCACTCCACTCCCCGGACTGGATAAGTGCGATATTTCCTCAGTTCTTCCATTGAAGTCTTGAGTCCTCCAGCACCGACGATGCGGGCACCACTGCTGTTGCTCTGGATGCTGGCTAGGTGCCTCCATGCGCACGGTTCCCCATGGTAACCGTCTCATGTGTATTATCCACTGTAAGCCTCTCTGAGCATGTGTCTTCCCTTGGCAAGCCATCTGCCACCCCTGGAGTTGAAATTAGTAGCCACCTGCGGTTGGTACTCCAGTGTTCCATATGTGTTCCTATGTGGCCATATGTGTATTCGTAAGTCCTCCCTTCGGTAGGCAGCTGGTAGCATGTCCCCTTCGGGATATGTTTCCCAGTGTACCTGGGTAATCCTGTGTCAAAGTCGGATCCCCAAAAAAAAAAAAAATAAAAAATGAGGTAAGGCTCGGGGGTTCAGTCTTTCGCAGGGCACTGGAAGACAGCTTGAAGATGGCGTGATGGCACAGACCCCCAATCTCCGTCACTTCTGACGTAACTCGAAGTGACTACGAAAGGGAACGTCTCGGTTACGTATGTAACCCTCGTTCCCTGAGTAGGGAACGGAGACGTTACGTCTCCCTGCCACTTCTGCTGTATCGCTGGGTAGATGCCGAGTTCAGTCTTGGCTCCTCAGCGAAGACATACTGCGGTTGCGTTCACTTCCTCCTTTTATACTCACGGAGTAGGGCGGAGTACGCTATGCAAATTTCCGCAGCCCCAAGGCATTGCATGCCATTGGCTCGTGTTTAAATACTCGAAGAGGATTGGCTTTCTATGCGAAATCCCCCAATCTCCGTCACTTCTGACGTAACGTCTCCGTTCCCTACTCAGGGAACGAGGGTTACATACGTAACCGAGACGTTATATGACGTCTTGGGATGAGACCGGGTTGCTTCAGATGTGTAGTTTGCTTCGAGCAACATATTCGAGTGCTGCTCATTTGTAACATTTGTCACTCTTTGGCCCTTGAGAGCCCTCAAATGTAACTTTCCTGGAAGTTTTGTTTGTGTATAGGACCATTTATAGCTACTGCATATATAGGTTGTGAGAGAGAGTGTGTGTGTGTGTGTGTGTGTGTGTGCACATGTGTTGGTTTACTATTTATCAGAAAATGGCAGATTTCAAAAATCAGATTAACTTGTTTGCGGAGTCTTTGCTGTAGGTAAAATTGCTTGTGTCCACACTATCTGCGCCATTTCCATGCATTTTTATCTTTCGAGTGCTTTCCCATTTGAACATAGTTTTTTTCATTCTATAAGAGAGTGTTGAAATGCTTTTTGTACGATAAAAGTGAGTCAGAATCTGCAAAACCAAGTCTGAAATCACTTAGATAGTCAACAGATGTCACAATTCCTATATGTTATTCTTTCTAACGCCTCTGTTTCTTTCTGCAGGCGTGGCACTGGCAGAGAGGTATGTCATTCTTTTTTTTTCACTAATTAATATCGCTCATATTTACAGTTAGGAATTTGAACAAAGCCCTTTATGTTTTCTGCGTACATATAAATAATACCTCGGACCATGTAAAAATCAAGTTCCAACTACAGTTGATTTAATTTTGGGTTTTTTTCTTTTATAAGTCGAAGGTAAGAGTGCTTTTTTCCCTTGTCACTTCAAACCGCCAATAGTGCCTTGAGGGAGACTTTCGCTAGAATCTCAATGAGATGAGGAGAGCAATAGAAACTTTGCCATTACACTCACATTTACACCTCACTAAGAAGTGTAAATTGAAGAGTCGTGTCTAATCTTGGTTCTGCCTGCACACACACATTATGCAGCAAGAATGTCACATCAGTGTCTGAGTTAATGCATATAGACTGGCTATGCATGCTGTCAAACATGACCTTTTCTGACCTTTCAAGCACTTTAG